AAGACTATTTTACTGTACCACAAAATGGACCACATTTTACATTTTTTTCTCGTTGTGTATTATGGGACTTTTCACAGATTTACTAAGGTATATCATTATATTTTTAATTTTTATATGATTAATATTAATTATTTTTGTATACGGTTACTTTTCCAGAACTTTCTTATGACTTTGTTAATTCTTGATAAAAATGACTCACAGCGTATTACACCGAAAGAGGAAAGAATTATTTGTTAATTTTAAGAATATTGTAAGATTATGTATTAATTTTCAATTTAGAACGACATTTATATTATTGTATGATGGCATTGAAAATGACTAAATTGGAGTTGAAACGTTTGTTTCATTTTATTGTATTTTAATTGTTTTTGTATTAAGTTTTCTTAGCTGAATTATAATTTTTTATTTGCGTCATTGGCTCGTTGCCCTTCTTTTATACTACCTTTTGAATAATAATAGAGATTAGAAAAGTAAAACGGTTTTTTACTTATAAGCATTTAAAGTTAACTTATAATTCGAAAAATTATTGTGATCTCGACATTTTCGTATTAGAATTTTCGTCTCAAAATTACCTCAAGAATATGTCCTTAAGAGGAAATGCGGTAATTGTGAGACACCCATACATACATACATTCACACATATAACATTCAATTTTTTACAAAGAAAAAAAAATTGGTATTTTATCGCCAATTACAAAACTTATTTTTGGAGGACATAGTACCATTATTTTTTATAACTTATAAAAATACATATGCATGTATATAGATGAGATGAAATATTCTGATTTGAATATTTGGATAAAATTTATCGCTTAATAAATTGGCAATTGTATTATTATTCAATATTTTGATAAGAAAGATTATTGTAAAAAGAGGATCAGTCATTTTTTCTCCATTAATATCGCTTGAATGTTACAGAATGTTCATTAAATGTTCACCAGTTGTAAAATTAAATTAATCGCTTAAAATTACTTATTTGCACGTTTAATTTATCACTTAATTTGTCTTTTTATATGTGCGTGATATAAAAGATATGAAATATCGTAAAAAACCATTTGCTCCCCCTCCCACAATTCTGCGACGAAACTGTCATTTGCTCTATTATCAGTAATAATATATTATATTATGACGTATTATACATTGAGACCATTATTGACATTATCGAAACAAAGATAAATCTGGCACTGGTGTGACAATTAAATAAATTAAATAAGGAATGTCAACTTTAATGGGAAATAAATTACTTTTAAAGAACTAATAATATTGTTTATAATACTGTTTTTTCTCTTTCTTATTAACAGATTGCAGATTGGATTATGTCTGTCATTTCAAATGGCACATTATTGCAATTTTTTCTCGTTTACATAGAAAATTGATCATTCTAATGCTCGATATATAATAAATAATTAAAAAATCGTCAATAATTGTCTCTGACACAATTGATATCGTTCACACTCGGTATTGAAAAACAGGTAATGATTGTAATGAATATACTAGCATATTCGCTCTAAGAAGAATTACTCATCCATTAAACTTTAAAAACTGATATTCATTAAATAGATGGATGACTATTGTCCATTTGCATTATAAGCTTCCCAATTCTCTTGACAATAATTAAGCATATCCTACATCTAATATAATCTCTACAATGATATACTATAGAATAGTACAGAATTATTTTTAGGTATAGTTAGAAATATATAAGTGAGACAAAAAAGCGATTTTAAAAAATTATTTGGGACTAGAGCTATAATCACGCATTTTAGTTTTATAAGAACTGTGTTATCATACTGACACTGCGCTATATCAAATATTGCATTAATGTAGTCAGATTAAAAAATCTCTTGTGCCACTTACTTCATTTATCTTTTTACTTTAAATAATATGGTTTAACAAGGCCTGGATTCTTATTTCTATGCATTAAAAAATGCGATTACAAAATCTTAAGCTAGATTTACGAAAAAATGAGTATTATTTGTTGTAAATTGATATAAAACACTGTACTTTTCTCTTACTTCCCTCGCAAAAGAAAATCGTTGGAAGTATATTTCTCCGACAACTATCTCTCACTCTATACACAGTAACACTGCGATATTGTTGCCATTCGCACGATATATAATTCTAACTTATGAATAACTTACGCGGCTCAAACAACTACGTTTTAGATTTTTACCAGTTTGCATCTATCCACAAGTCTTCAATTTTCACTCGTCCTAAAATAATAAGTTTGAATGTTAATCATCATCAATTTTTGTAAATAAATTGTATACAAATTTTCTTTCTATTTTAAAACTTATTGCTTTGTTAATACTATTTTTATATAAATAACATATAGAGAGATAAGAGTATATGGTTTCGACTTCCTTACTTTTACGTTACTTATCTTTAAATTACGTACTGAAGATCTAAAAATATGATTTGAAGTATATATAGCTCTTCTCTCCCTCTCTCTCTCTCTCTCTCTCTCTCTCTCTCACTCGCTATGTTATTTAATAAATTTACATAATAAATTTACTATTACGTATAACCATTTAGTGGTATCAGCTTATTAACACGATTTCAATTTTATGGTTTACAGCAAATGAAACACCTACTTACCCATTCATGTTCCTCGACACCTTCCATGTGATCTTGTTCTAGCGAACACTGGATAACGTCTCCCACAAAATGGCTCATAGTTTTCTGGATCTAATACACACGAGCACACAATATGCTCAAACATGATATTACATAGAAGCAAGGATGTCTCGCAATAGGAATTTTCATAGTATAGAAAATTTTTTTCAAAGCTTTTTTTTCAAATAATTGGATGCATCACGCTTTGTATCATTGAATAATATTAACCGAGGATATACATATATATGCGACAATGTTTCGTAAGAAATCATTTTTACATCAATATCCGTTCATAAAATACATGCAAAATGCATAAATTCAATCGAACCCTCTCACCTCTTCTTGTTTTGCTTTAATATCCGGATTCCATCCTAATCTATTGTAAGATTGTGTAGTGATTCCAAAAGGGGTTAGTGATGGTTTGGTTGCAATTTGGGGAGGTGTAACTGCATTTTGAGATTGATTTTCAGTTACTGTGAATAAAAATTCGCATGTA